ATTCTCCGTGTGTGGTTAGCAATAGTCACTAGCAGATGCAGACTTCTATTCCGTGGGTCGCCCCAGTGCAAAGAGTCCATCTCTTCTCCAGTAGTTGTAGAAGTCCAGGAACCAGCTGTAATTGCCCTGGCTTGGGTCGCATGCCCAGTGCTGAACGGAAAGTGGGATCTGCCAACTGGCTGGAGCCGGATGACTGTGCATCTCTGAGGAGGTGTGGCCTTACCTCTACCAGAGTCCCATGGGCTGAGATGGCGGTGAGGCACTGGACTGATTCTAAGTTACTTCCTCCAGCACGTGTGATCAGACGCACACCTAAACAAGAACATGGCTGACCCGCCGCCTCACGGACCTTCAGGATCACTCAGATAGAGTCACTCTGTTAGTACGTAGCGTTATTATTGTTACATTATTATTATAAAATACGTAGCAGTGTCCAACAGAAATATAATAAGCCACATATGTAATTGGAAATCTTTTAGCAGCCAAATTAAAAAAGTAAAAAGAAACAACTCAAGTTAATTTAATAATATAATTTCGCCCAATATATCAAAAATAATATTATTTCAATATGTAATCAATATACATAATTACTAGTGAGATTTTTACCTTTTACATTTTTTCATGCTAAGTCTTCAAACTCCAGTGTGTATTTTATACTTACAGCGCATCTCAGTTTGGACAAGCATGTTTTTAAGCGCTTAATAGTCACATGGGGCTATGAGTTACTACTAGACAGCACAGGTGTATATTACAAAGAAACGCTAACATTATTATAAAATGGAGAGGGGATTTTATTTTCCCCTTCATAGTTTCCTGAATCTTCTAAGTTTTCCATAATTTCTTCCTAAATGATCAAGTAGTAGAAAGTATGTCAAGGCCATTCCCGTAGAATGCTCATGAATGGGATAATGCTGGCTGATGGGAAACATCTCCTAATTTGCCCCCAAGGTTCTGGCCTTGGCATTCACTGCCCCATTTTTTAAGTGATCAGAATAAGGACAGATGATTCCGACTATTCAAATTTGCCATTAATGTGATGCTGAAAGCCTTAGAGGCTACCGCAGGTGCCAGAGGCAAAAGCCAAAATAATCTCAACAAGCTGGAATGATGGCATGAAGCTAACGAGACAAAACGTACACATGAAAGAATATGCTCTTGATTGGGTTGAAAAAGCTAAGTGCACACGTACAGAAATGTGGATGTTATAAGCTGAGCGAAGTGGTTATCCAAAGGTGCTATGAGGTTCGGTTGACTCTAAATTTAATATCAGTCAGTAGTTGGAGAAGCCTCTGAAAATGGGTGCTGAGGCTGTGTTAATTGAAGCAGAGTGTCCAGGCCAAGGGCGCAGATGGTCTTGGTCTTCACTCCACAATCAGCCACTGAGAGTACCTCGTTGTTCTGGGTACCACGCTTCGAGGGATATTAATTAAGTGAAATTTTCCTGGAAGAAAACAAGGAGAGGGAACAAGTAAAAGAACTGAAGAGTTAGTGTCCCAAGTTTAGAAAACTAGAGGAAATGTAAAGGGCTCTTAAACATAGGAGAAAATGC